TTCAAAGATGGTCGCTCACAGTGGACATAGATGCTTCTTTCACTCCTCTTTCAAACCATCTGTCCTCTCTGTCCAAAATGTGAACATTGGCATCCTCAAAGAGTGTCCTTTATCCTTAAGATGCAGATGGACAGCTGAGTCTTGCAGTTGCATGACGAACTCTGTATTCCTCGTCCACACGTAAACGCAAAAAAGGAGTTTTAAAAAAACCTCCGTTTTCGGTGATTCGAAACGCCGTTTACGTTTTCAAGGTTCAAGGTTCAAGGTTCTTTATTTGTCACATGCATAGTTATACAAGTATAACACACAGTGAAATGTAGCCTGACACGCTCCTCGACATGTGCAAAAATTGGGGGGGGTGTAGAGGAAAAACATTATATATATATATAGTATATACACTGGGTGAATGTGCAGTAGTAGCAGCAAGCAGGTGAATTCTGTACATTAATATGAAGAGATATCTGACTATTTTACAGGATAGACAATATAAACATATTTAAAATTAAAGGAATTGAAATGTACATTGTGCCTTGGTTTAGTGTCTGGAAGAGAGTCCTGTCTCAGTCAATTATAGATGATGTGAGAGGGCGGGTGTGTGTGTTTAGGGCATGGATGGCTTGGGGATAGAAGCTCCTCTTGAGTCTCTCTGTCCTTGCCCGGAAGATGCGGACCCTTCTACCAGATTGCAGAAGTTGGAACAGTTTGTTGCCAGGATGGCAATCACCCGTGTAGGTGCGGACGCAGCGTAAAAGAGTTAGTAGTTTATTTTATTACTACCTGCAGATTACTTGTATTTAGTTAATTGTTTCCTAAATGTTTGAGGTGTGAAATAAACCGCAATGGAGCAAAAAATGGGCGTGTGTGGTTAAAGGATGTGTTTGCACGTGCATGTGCGCGCGCGGGGGTGGCGTGAACATTTTTCTTGTAAAACAAAGGGGGCCTGGCAAAAAAGTTTGGGAACCACTGAGTTAGGAACACATAACATTTGAAGACAAGTCTCGAAAAAGTGCTACAATACGTTATTATTAGTATTAATAGCGATTACTGCTCACAAACCCGCCTGCAATACGAGCCAAATACGTGAGAGCTCGCTTTAATGGATTCAGTGGTGTTTTTGCAGCTGTGGAAAGTGGACATCACAGCAGAGGACGGAACATTACCGTCACGCAGGGGTTTCCCTTGTATCAGCTGAGCACCGGACTGTACCATTACCCTGCCTTATGGGGGACACACTAGGGAAAACGGACACAGTTAAAATAATTACATTCAAGTGTGCCCAGAAATAATAATTATCGGGAAGCATTTATACATACAAACTTCGATGTAATTAAAGTTCACGAGCGCTGTATTCAGAATGTTTGGGATTTGTCCGAATACCACCCGCAATTCGTGTAGGCTTCCAAAAATGGCGGCGGTTTCTGTCAGTGTGGAGTGAAACTTTCCTATTTTCAGCGAAATTCTTCCTCCATTCTAGCATTTTGTCGACTGTAGTCGAGTGTTTATTAAAGTAGGCATCTTCGGAAGACACCGGCGTTTGACAGTCGTCGTCAGGACTGAGGGGGTGACTCTAAGCTCCGGTTTTGAGCACCAAATCGCTGAGCTTCCTTCGAAGTTGACGGTAGCTGAGTGCCTGACATTGCGATCATAGCGACTGTTGTCATCGTATCGCTTAGCGCCGAGCCGTCAGGTGAGATTGGACGTCGGTCGATTAGCAGTAGATAGCTTTGCGGCCAAAGGGCGTCGGAAACAAAGCGGTTGGTGTTTGTGTGTGTGGATCGAGCCGGGGCAGATTACAGATCCCGAGGACGTGTCACGTCACCTGTCAGTTGGAATAAATAGGTGCTGTTGGATGTCACCGCCACTCTGTGCCGCACTGAATTTGGTTTGCTAGCGTCGTGTAAGTACCGGCTCATTTTCACCCGTGTTCTCGCTTCACTGTGCGCCCAGACAGCTTGTTGTGTTTTGGGGCCTACAGTCACTTGCCTCCATATGTTTGTACTGCGCTTTTATTATGCTAGCTAGCTGTTACCCGTCATTGGCTAATTTGTTGTATTATAATTTGTCTAATGGCATATTGCGGGAAAATAACTAAGTGCAGTTTTCATATATCGCCTACATCGTGGTGACTTTCTTTAAGGAACAGCAGCGAGGGACGTGGCTAGTGTTTTCTTGATTTTCCGGGCTGCCTCAGAGCGGCTCATGGCTGCTCGGAGATTGTAAATGTCAACTTTCTGTCTCTAACGAGCGTTTCTAATGTCTCTTTCCTGATTTGTTTATGTTGGACAGCCATCCTGGCAAATCAAATGGAGAAGCTTCAGGACCTCAGCCAATCAGAGCTACAGGAGCTCCTGGACAGTCCGGAGAGGGTGGAATCGATGGCTCTGGAGTCCGATGAGGTGAAACTGGTGCTTCATTCTTCTTCCCCTTTGTCGAAACGCCGATTAAATTCCCTTAATGAGAAGTCAGGAGTTTGATTATGTGGCATTGCAGTGACCCTACAACTGGTTTCTAATTTATATCTCAAACTGTCTATAAAGTCTTTCTGCCAAGGTTACATCAGCTCAGTGAAAAGTGACAAAGACGAGGCGGTCAGTGGGAAGCATTTTAGTTTTAAATGTTCAGTAGTTGTGTGGTATTTTTCTTCTTCAAAATAATAAAGTTAGGAGTTATTATAATTGTCCTAGAAGTGAGCAAATAGGGATTTGCCTTTGTCCCTGTAACCTTTGCTTTGTTTGCAGTCATGCAAAATTGTTGAGTTGTTCCGAGGAACTTCGTGTCCTTCATCACCTCCTATTTCAAATGACTGACTCATGTCCCCTTATATCTGAGCTGGTTCAGACTGAGTCCAGAATACTTCAGGTGTTTTGTTTTGTGAAAGTGTTCTGATGATTTCAAATGATGGCAGATCTCCTGAAATCATTAGGTTAGATACTGACATTGAACTGCTGATTTGACACAAGCTTGCAGAAACCTGAGTTACTCAAGGTGAACAGAGACCGCACAGTCACCTGTGAGAGGAGTCTCAGTGGTTTATCTGCCATTTCTTCATTTGTCATCCAGTTTAATCCGATTTTTAAGGACTGAGTGCACGCCAAGACAGAGCAGGGTTTCAGGTTAAAGCTTGTAGAGAATCACTTTGTTGGTTGTCACACTGTGTTAAGTTTTCATAACTTCAACTGGGAGGAATGGGAAGAAATGACGTGCTTTGTGGCATGCTGCTAGCAACAAAGTGCCTGAAGATGACATTTCTAACTTTGCTAAGCTGCCTGTTGTGTGCAGACACAATACTGGTTCATCCCTTGAGTGAGCCGATTTTTCTGCTTGAGTGATTTATAGGTCAGAGTTAGGTGGCTTAACAAACCAAATAACATTCCCCTGAACATGATCAGGTACAAGTACTGAAAACAGCCAGTGTCCAAAGAAAAGCCTGAGAACTGTTGCTCACTTTGAAAATGACGCGTCTGACTGCGTGGAAGCAAAATGGAAAGAAATGAGGCGAAGGCTTTTTGGGCAACTCTTTATGCCAGCCTGACTGCAGTGACACTTTCAAACATGCTGCTAATCCCAGAGGCCAACAGACGTTTTCCACTGACGAATGTGTAATATTGAGTCAGTAAATAATGACGCTGCGACACAGTTTCCTTTGAGTTCTAGTCGTCTCATATTAAGACTGTTGTGAAAGTCGTGTGATGTTTTTGGGGTCGTAATCGTGGAAAAAATGTCCCCATAGCTGTATATGTGCGTCACAAAATAATAAACATTATGTACTCATGCATGAAAAACAGCAGTCAGATAAAACTGATGAGCTGTGCAGAGAGCAGACAGCAGAGCTGTCCCACTGATGCCACCAAAGTCCAGTCCAGGGCTGGATCCTGATCTTGACTTGACTGAACGCAGCGTTAGGAACGTTGTTCAGCTGTTTCACATCGCAGGGCTGTACACACAAAGACACAGGCTCGTGTTAAAACTGTAAAGATATGCCTCAGCTGTGACGCGTACTCACAGTACAGGAACAGGACACGCACACACTTATGTCAGCCTAACAAACTTATTTACTGCGGTTATTTTACACGCCAAGAACAAGATGGAGAATCCGGCTCGTTTGCAGCACACACGAGGCTCCTGTGTTAGTCGCTGTGGTTGCAGTAGTGCTTTTGATATGACTCTATGTTCTACACGAGGAGAATCTGCTGACATCCTTCCACCAAGTCAGTCCATCATTCGGTCTTTTAGAGAAGACTGCTGAGTCTTACTAAACGCCACATTTCAGTACTTGTATATGTGGTGATGCAGACACACTGAAGGATCTACATAGACACGTGTTTGATGCCGACACTTAAAGTTATAATTCCCATTGCATCACATGCCTTTTGTTTCAGATCCAGAACATCCAGCTGGAGAGAGAAATGGCTTTGGCATCAAATCGCAGCCTGGCTGAGCAAAACCTGGACATGAAGCCTCGCTTGGAGTCGCAGAAGGAGCTGCTGGTGGAGAGATATTCTCAACTAGAGGCAGTCAGAGAAACCTATAGACAGCACTGCTCCCTGAAAGGTAGGGGGAGGGATGAACACTGCACACTACTGACTGCACCTGACTCACTGTGTCACTGAGTGAGTTTTCATCACGTGTGATGATCACATAAAAGCCACTGATTGTCAAAAAAGGTTAAAGTAGATTTGTCTTTTTGGACGTTGACTATAAATGTCTGAAATGGGAACTGGACTGATTCACGTACAGCACTCTTCTACTCTCTCTGAGCTCTTACTACAACATTCACACACACTCGCACTCTGATGGATGAACTTGAACCTGGTTGAGTATCTTGGCGTGCAGACTGCAGGAGGCAGCGATCAAACTACCGACCTTCTGGTTAGTAAGTGACCTGAAGTGTCACTCAGAAGCGTTTCTTTGTTTTTCACCTGATGGGGTGTTGTTGTCAAACTGCTCCTATTTTTCCGTCTGTTATAGGACTTTCTTTTTTTACATAGGTACACTTGGTGTCATTTTACACATTTATTTCTGAAAATGTCAGAGCTGTGCATCATTTACTACAGCAGCGTTTCTTTATCATTTAATGTGTAGTTAAACGCACAAAGGGGAGTGTCACTGGTCGGGGTCAGGCGATGATGTAAAGTGAGTTTGACATCTACTAAAATTAAAGTCTCAGATGACTCTGAATCCCGGTGACCTTGACCTCAAAATGAGAGGTCAGCCTTTCTGAAAAGAGTTTCACATTTATACCACAGGTGCTCCTAGTATGAGGCTGGCAGTGCCAGTGCCCTGGGTGTGGTAGTAGTACACACAGTGTGGGCACTGGACCCATCCCTCACCGTGGCCCCTGAAAGCCTTGCTTTATGTGACTCAGGATTTTATTATTTCTCTTCTGCATCTGTATGTTTGAAGTGCCTTTGGAGAAGATACCCCAGGTACTCTTTCATGCATCCATCTAGGTTTGCATGTGAGGCTGTTAAATGTGTTCATGGATGCAGCTCAAAGTTCAAATGTCCTTGAAGTGTTAGGTGAGAGTGAAAAACACCATATAAACGACAGCCCATGTACCATGGGCCAAACTAAGACTGGGTGGGACGAACCTCATGGACCTGATAGTCAGACGGAGTTTCAAGAGTGAGTCGGTAATAAACAGTCACCTCAGTGAAGGAAGGTTCCCAGTTCGAACCTGTTGAAAAACCTGCTTGGCAGGTTAGCTGGTGATTTGACAGTGGCTCATTGTGCGACAGTACATGGTTATCTGTGTCTGTGTTTAAAAACAGAGGGAGCGCCAGCTTCAGAGAGCTGAGTCTTTATGTGCCCAATACATACAAATCCTAATAAACTGGCACCAGATGAATGTGCAGTGTTGCAGTGAGTCGTAGTTCTTCCTCCATCGCTGTGCAGGTGGAGCTGCCAGATAGATGGATTGATACATGAGGCAGTATTGAGTCTGTGTACAGCCACCGAGCCAGAGTGAGCGAGGCACTGTGTAAAATGGTTCGTTCAGAATGTGTATAAACCCTCTTGATTCAAAGCTGAAAGTGTGCACTTAGAATAGAATAGAATAGAATAGAATAGCCTTTATTGTCATTGTACAGAGTACAACGAAATTGGAGTGCCACTCCCTTGGTGCAAGTTTCAATAATAAATATAAATGTAAAATATAAAAAGTACAAAAAAACAATCCTAAGTACTCAAACAATAGTATGTACAATATATACAGGATAGCAGCATTAATATAATGACAGTGACGGTATGGAATAGGTTCAGTTGTTTTGTGCTTATTTACTACGGTGATAGCTCTGGGAAAGAAGCTATCCCTGAATCTGTTTGTCCTGGTTTTATGTGACCTGTACCGTCGGCCTGACGGTAATAGTTCAAACAGTTGGTTGCTGGGGTGAGAGTGGTCCTTGATGATATTGCCAGCTCTGCTGAGGTACCGAGAGTTTGCAGTGACCTCCAGGCTGGGCAGCACCGTTATTGAACGTTCGTTTGGAAACAGTCTGCAGAATCTCTGTCCTTAGCAGCTGGACTTGTACCTGTGCAGCCCACCCAGGTAAAGTCTATTTGTGGGACACACAGGTGGGAATTTCCCAGCATGCCTCTCAGTTTGCCTGTGTTTTTAATCCATTATAATAATGTGAGTCCACAGCTCTCATCAGTCTGAGCGTTTAATGTTTCCATCATCAGACGCGCCCAGGCTCATACTCAGTCTCTTTCTAACTCTTGCTCCCCTCAGATGGCATGGCAGGTCAGGTGTCTCCAGAAGCGCTGTTCTCAAGACTACAGACAGAGGGCAGCAAAACAGAAGAAGAGTCAGAGGTCAGTGATCGACTGTCAAACATGTTGCAGGTGCATCGTTTAACGTAAAGGCAGACGCGTCGATGTTTTTAACGTGGGCTCAGCATGTTCAGGTAATATGAGCGAAAGGCAACAGTTTAAAGTTGGGTTCTAAACGCCGACGATCACGAATAGATTAAAGAGTTTCCTGAAGATGGGATGTGTTGTTTCCTATGAGTCTCTGCATGCATGCAGACATGACAGCGTGGTGGAAGTCAGTGTGTGGGCTCAGGAGCAGCGTTTCCTGCTTCACCCACTAATGCATGTACCATTCGATGAAACACTGATGAGTTTTAACTTGGATTTTTGAGGCTCAGATTCAGATTAACTGAACTGTTCTGTGGTCTGACCAATCAAAATGATTTTTGATGCTGCCATCTCTGAGATGGAGCAGACAGACAACCTGGTATGATATCATTACACGATGCATTCTGTAGCCATGATTGGCTGTGCGTTAGTGCACATGGTACGGTGAATTTGCTCCTGAGTGAAGAGCCCATTAATGCTGACACATCAATGCAGGTTTTGGAATCACACAAATCACTATCAGATGATGTCTTTGGTTCAGAAGGTCTCAGCCTGTGAACGTCTACGCCAGTGTAAAGTTAGTTTCTCTTCATAAAAATTTATGGACACATTCACACTCCGATGGATGCATCAGAAAGCAACGTGGAGTTAGTTTCTTGCCCGAGGATATTTGGCATGCAGACTGGGATCAAACCACCAACCATCTGGTTAGTAGGTGACCTGCTCTGCCAGCTGAGCTGCAGCCAGGTCAGTGTCAGGATGTGGTCAGCTTTCACTGAAGTGATCAGACAACAGCTGGCTTGGAAACGCTTTGTTGTCCCCGTGGAAGAGCGTCTGAGCTGCTGCCTATGGTACCCACCCCCTGAAAAGCAGCGATGGATGGGTGAGCTGGGATTCTACTTCCCATGAGCTCACTGTGCTCCAGTCAGATGTGACTGACGTAAAAGTCACCATCAGGCAGCGAGCGTGAGGGTCCACGTGACCTCCTAATGACTCTGCTCCTCCTCTTTACTCAGCCAGACTCACTGATGCCTGTAAATATGCGACCCACCTGTTTGTGACAGCATGGTGGACACTAGGGTTGGGCGATATATATAAAAAATTTCCAACCGACCATCGTCAGTCCAATAGTCGGCGATGGGCGATATATTTACGCATGCGCAGGCTTTGTGCACGGACTGATTTGCGTGTTTACAACACAGAAGTCCAAACATGGACGAACTCATTTCCAAAAACAATTATGGCTGTCAGCGTTAACGCTGCATTAACGTGATTAACGCCATTAAAATCTGGAGTGCAGAACGAACGAACTTTGGACAAACTGCCCAAAATACGCTGACAGAGACATTTCAGAGATTTTGACTCAGTCTGTCATGCAATCGTGTTTGTCGTGATGACGCCTCATTGACTCACCAATCACCAATTTGGGATGAAAAAGGTAAACCTACGGATGTAACCAAAGCGGTGTGTCACTCGTGCAGACGTATAGTGTGAGGAAAGTCCTCAAACACGACTAACTTACATGAGGATGCACGCGTCCACCATCCAGCTGAGTGTGCTAGGCTGTCACCAGCTTCTGCAGCTCCAACAAGCATCTGAGTGCCCTGTGAGGAGGGGCATCGCAGATGAAAGAGGGTGTTGTTAAAACAGCGCTATTATTTTTTTTTTTCTGTTGACTGCTTCTATTAGCTACATTATTATTAGCAAACCTACTCATGGGCTCAGCCTATCGGCGATAGTCGGTATATTCGTCCAGTCGCCCGAACAGATCGTGTCTCCGTGCTGTGTTTTGGATTAGTTGCTTCATCCATCAGGAAATTCAACTAAAGACTAGCTGGACTAAGTGCGCCCCTGGGCACACTGTGTTATCTAGTTGGGCAGCTCAGCAGTGCAGACCTATCCGAACTAGAAATGCTTTTACTTTGAAGGATTTTGCACTTCCTTTAACAGCGGCTGCTGTTTATCTGGGCTGTGGCAGGCTTTGGGGTGCCATCACATTGTGCAGGTTGTGAAGCAGTGGGTCCCACCCCGCAGCACATCATTAGTCTGTGGCTACTACAAGTAATTTGACCTTAGAGGTAGTTTGATACCTGCTCAGCAGTAAGCACCGCTCATTTGTCTTACCTGTCTCGTCCCGCAGGCTCTAGCAGATGAGTTTCTGGAGGGATCTCTTCCGCTGGACTCCTTCCTCGACCGATTCCTCTCCCTGCGCTCACTCGCTCACAAAAGACGCGTACGGATAGAGAAACTCCAAGAAATCCTGCGACAGAGGAGCGAGGGCAATGCCACCGCCATGACGTCGTCAGCATGCCTGAAAGAGGACTCTGCCACCCCGCTGTCACCGTGGGATCAACAGACAACAACAGCAACGACGACGAATCAACAGCAGCCGAGTTCCAAACCTCAGAACGCCTCTCAGCCCGTGTCCTCGTCTGCAGGGGGCTCATCTGGGCTCCCCTACAGTCCGTACCCTGTGTCGGGCCCTACTCCTCCTGCTGTAGTGGCAGCAGCAGGTTCTGTTCCAGCCAATGCCCCATCACAGTTCCCTCCTTACCCAGGTCCCACTTCAGCTTTCCCTCCGGCAGGGAGCTACTCTGGCCCTAGCCCCCCTTTTGGGCCTCCAGCTTCGGCCAGCTGCCCTTACCCGGCCCAGCCCTCCTTTCCTTCGCCACATCCGGGCTCAGCATTTGGCCAGTACACCCCGAGCCACGCTCAGAGTGGCCCTGCGCCCTACCCGGCCTCCTACAGCTACGGGGGCTACAGCTACCCATCCGGGCCAGCCTATTCCAATTCTCAGTCAGCAACAGGGAGACCCATGTACAGACCGGGATATGGAGTTCCACAGCCGTACTCCTGAAAGCACTGCTGCTCCGCTGTCTCTCTTCTTCTTAAATCTTTCCTCCTTTGCTGTCTCACCATTTTCTCTTCCCTCACTCCTGCTCTCCTCGCCCTGTCCTTTCTCCGATGCTCCCAGACTCAAGAGGTCTCTCGCTTTACTTTGTTGCACTATTTCTCTAATATCAGTCTGTCTCTGTTTATTTCTTTGCCCTTCCTTTGTCGACCCACCAACTCCCCCTACTCTGGTCTCAGGTTGTTGCGTTTGTGTTTAAGCGTTCAAACACTGTCTCTGGCTCACTCACCTTCTTCCTTCTGCACATCGTTGTCTCCTCCCTCCTCTTCCATGTCATTTGTGTGTGTGTGTGTGTGTGTGTGTGTGTGTGTTGCTGTTTGGCAATCAGAAAGTCCTTATAGACACAAGTGCACTCCCCCTTATGACAAATACATGGCAAGAATCACACTCTGTGACAGTGTCCCCATCCCCTGCCATAGTCTGTGTTGTTCACATTGTTTTCTGTGAGCACAGACGAGATATGGAAGCTTTATGTTCTGCTTTGATGACCTCTGGGCGTAAACGATGCCATTAAAAAGGAGAAGGCCGGTACACAGTACGATTCTTACATGAAGTTAAAGTGCAGGGTTTGAAGTTCCCATATTCTTATCTGTAGCTGCCCGGATATTCAGCTCTTCCAGTTGCAAGCGAATGTGAACGCGGCCACTTTGTTTCCTTTAACCAAAGAAACTTCTGCTGATGACACTGCTTTCATTCCTCTTCCTTTCATTAGTGTTGGACAGAGGAAGCAAACTGCAGCAAGAGATGTCACAGTACTACGTTTGTAGTAGTGCACACCAATGCCAGTAGCAGATACCAGAGTAGAAACAGCCGGTGACTATCTCAACAGCAGCAGCAGTGTGCGCACTGCCCCTTTAAAACAAGAGCCCACCGTGTGTAACCTACAGTACACGACACAGAAAATACCACGTGTATTTCCAGGTCACAGTACATGTACAGCATTTGGAAGCTACTGTAAGCATTGGTGCTGCGACGTCCCCAGCTGCAGCTGTGTCAGCAGCTTCTCCTCTCAGCCCTGCTTAAAGCACTCGAAGAGGAAACAGGCAGACTTGGAAAATTCTTCAGATTCCTGATCCCGACTGTGATGTCCTTTCCTACTTTTCTGTAAAGTCAACAAACATGTCTGTTTCTGTGAGTGGAAGCCTAGCTGGAGACGACTCACAGGGCACTAGCTGGAGAACCGACACTGTAGGCAGGTTTCTGGTTTTCTCCACACATCTTCACGATCTTTTGTTTTGTATTTTTCCAATAAGTAATTCAAAGGGAAACCCAGGAAGGGTCACTTGTCAGAACGGTCACACTCTTGATTTCCTTATAAGCATGTTTTATCGTGGAGAAGCTGACACAAAGGGATTAGTTGGTGTCACTCATGTTGCTGTGTACTCCCTGCACCTCTCTGATTGGTCCACGGAGGCTCTCTAAAATCAAGCTTTGTGTTGGCTTCAAACACTTTGGCACTGCAGACCATCGTAGGTGAGGAGGAGGTGTTGAAGGGAATTTAGTATGTGTGTATTTTTAAACTGAAGTGCCAACATTGTGACAGGCAAACGCGTAAATCTCACATTTCTTTGGTGACGAGCTGTACCTTACATCCCTCCAAGTGACTGAACTGAATCTAAAGTGATCTGGCACTCAGAAATACTGCACCACTAGAAAGCTCCAGAAAGCTGCATTAGTGAAGCGCGCTCAGAGTTCAGGCGACTGAATGATGATGATGATGATGTTAAAGAGGGGGAGGAATCCCGGTGTGGTTGTGCAGCGGAGAGCGGTGTGCAGAAATCCTTTTTGTTTCAGTGCATGTCAGACACGCAAAGATTTCCTTTCAGAGCAAAGTTGAACCTGCTGTTAATCAAAACACGGTAAATCTGTACCTGAAGACGGGCTGTGCAGGCTTCAGCTGAGAGCTGGCTAATGCTAGGGCGAGCACTGTGTGGATACATTCAGTCATTATCGTAGTAGCCAGTGTGAGCCACGCTTCTTCAGATGTCACATGATTTAGAAGAAGTTGGATATCAGCTGACTTCCCTGCCAAGGTCAAAGATCACCTCTTCCTGCTTTAAGAGCTGTCGCTAAGACTGCTAGCACAAAGGCTTTCACAGTGGCAGTAGCAGGTGTTCAGTCAGTCAGCAAACAGTCACTGTACACTCAGTCATACAGAGGTTTCTGTGGTGTTTGGACAGGTCATTTATTTTTTTATTTAACCAGGTTAGTATAACCATCCTCTGTTCCTCCGCCTGTCTGAAAGAGCCTTTGATGGACGGCTGGCTGTCAGAAAGAAAGCAGAAGTGTAAAGTGGCTCGCTGTGGTGAAGGAGCACATGCTCCACCACAGACACAAGCATCAGACTCGCTGTAAGGTCTGCTGGAAACAAAGATGGAAGGTTCGCTCTTCTGAACAGGGAGGGAGTCTGATGAAACTCACTCGTGTACCGTCTGCACATAGAAAACACTTAGAGGCACAGGTACAGTCAGCTGTTGTGTGTAACTGTGACCTGCCTGTCTGTTACTAGCCACAGAGCGCTAAGCCACGGCAGTAAGGTTCTCTTTATAAACCGCTCGCTCACCGTGCTGATGTCTGTCACAGAGCAAAGACACTGAAGGACAGAGACCAGCATTAGCTCCTCTGCAGGAACCAGGTACCCCGAGGGCAGTGACTGGAAATGTAATTTAGACCTTTCATGGCAGTAGTCGATGTAATTGGCAGTTCACTGTTTGCTTTTCCTGGTTTACGATTACTGCCAACTCTGAATTGATTAATGCTTGATAGAAACTAACATATAAACAAATATTTCAGCATTAGGTGAATTTGTCTTTTATAAAGGGTGCCTTACTCCTCACAGGTAAATATGGGCTGTAGCTGACAGAGTGCATGTGATGGCTCACCTGAATCCAACTCTCAGTACCTCAGATGTCCACACGGTGGCACCAGCTGACAGACTGGCGCTGTCTGATTGGATGAGAGCTGACGCTGCACCTCTCTTGGTGCTAACGTCGCCCTCTGGTGTTACCTGTGGAGTCTTACTGCACACACACACACAGCAGATGTCTCACTGGTTTCAGTTGGTTTTACGTGAACACGAGTAGGTGACGACTTCACATAGAGATGCTGCAATAACCCGAGCATGACGAGCTTTCACATACGATAAAGACATGACGGTGGTGGATTTGTCCTGAGGACTTCAGTGTTGTTAGGAAAAATGACGACAACAATAATAATAGTTTTACAGTGTTTTAGAACAAGCACAAGGCAGATGTCTTAATATAGTTAGCATTAATATTCTGGAGGGAAATATCAGATTGATTTAATGGTTCTGATCTGGAGGGATTCTATATTACTGATGATGTAGATGGAAAAAGAGAAAATGTTTTCTTTCTTGTTTTGGTTGTGAATAATTAAACAAGTTGATTTGAAGTAAAATGCTCAGAGTCTTTATTACGTTAGGATTCATGGAGTCATACTGCTATAAAAATGATTTGTGTGAATGCATCGAGTCATGAAAATGAATCTTAAATGTTATCAAAACCTTCACTCATCAAAGTTAGGTGTGTAAAGTTCTCTAATACCAAGAAAACCCGGTTTTAACTGGATCAATGAGGAGCCACTGATATCAAGACAAGGAAGCTCCTTACATGAGTGGAGGGCTTCACACCAGGACCATGAGACTGCACGCTACGTGGAAGGAAGGAGGCCGAGGACTGGAGAGCATCCGGGATGGAAAAACAAACACAGGACGATGGCGTCCAATGGTAGCGTGCTTACTTGCAGCAGAAAACTGGGAACGAAGGAGAGGAGCCATCGTGGAAGGACGTAAGACTCCACAGCATGCACCACTCACAGACAGCGGCCTGACTCAGGATGCCAGAGCCGCCTCAGGTATTTTAAGGATGTACTTCACAAGTTTCCCTTTTTAGCACTTTGGGATTCACCTTGTTAAATGGTAAATGGTAAATGGCCTGTATTTATATAGAGCTTTACTAGTCCCTAAGGACCCCAAAGCGCTTTACATATCCAGTCATCCACCCATTCACACACACTGTGGTTGGTGTAAAATTATTATTTTATGGCTGTCAAAGTGTTTTCTTTCATTTCTCACAGACTCGAGGACAGAAATGGGAACACATGGTGTGTTTTTTGACAAAGTTACTAAAGATACATTTAAAAAATGGTACATGGTGCAGTTTCCATGCTTGAATGATTCATAGATCAGTGTCAATGTGCAAAAAAATCATTCTTCTGATCATGTCTGAGGAACTAATATGTCAATAAATGTCACATCTTTCACTTCAGTAGTCCACGTGCTGCAGTTGTTACAGTGTGTTGTGATATACCATGACACTGATTTGAGACATTACGGTTTTTCAAAGACTTTTTCATTTACAATTCCTTTGAGATGGGTCAGTGAGTTTTGTTGTATACGCTGCAAACACTATCCCCAAACATCACGTTCTTGCCTAAGCGACTGATACGAGCTCGTGGATGTGCTGTGGTTGATGGTTTGTGAAGCTCATGACGCCAGCTCCTGTGAGGGGAAAACGCACAGACATTTGGGAAATTCAGTGCAGAGAGGAGTAGGAGTTGAAAGTTGTGGGGGTTTTGTCGTATCTACGGCGCCGTAAACCAGAGGTGGAGAATGAGAGAAAACGAGAGTGACGAAGGTGACGGAGTAAAGTAGTGTGTAAAGTCCACGCCGAGATGAATCAACAACACAAGATATTTTTGTTTGTCACAGACCCAGAGGATGATGTATGAGTTCACTTAGTCACAGTTCCTGCACAAACTTGTCATCTTGTGGTGTCGTAATTTATGCTCGGATCTTTGCACATGGTGAAGTCTAAGGAAACGCTAATCTGCTGCTAACATGACAGCACGCACACAGGGCCTCCAGATCCTGCTGTGGGATCAAATGTACATGTTTTTGTCACATGTATACAACACATCATTGTTTAAAAAGCCGCAGTGATTATAGCACGTTATACACCACGTCTCACTTTCTTCTATGTGAATCTAACATTCACACTCTGATGAAATCATTTTAGCATAGGATCAAACCACCAACCGTCCCGTCAGCAGATGAGTAGCTCGAGCTCCTGAGCTACAGCCACCCGTCCCTCCCTGTACTGTTTATATTATATGAATTCTTACTTTAGAACATTGTAACTGCTTCATGTCTTATACTGAAAAGATCTCTGACAATGTGCTTGATATTTACGCTCTGCAGCTGTAGCTCGCTGTAAGCAGCACAGTTCTTGTGTTTCTCCAGTGCAGCAGATTACAGCATGTACTCTGAGAGCTCACTGTTATTAGTGTGTGTGTGTGTGTGTGTGTATGTGTATATATATATATGTATATATGTGTGTATGTATATCTCTATCTATATATCTATATATCTCTATCTATATATCTATATATATCTCTATCTATATATATCTCTATCTATATATATCTCTATCTATATATCTATATATCTATATATCTATATATATCTATATATCTATATCTATATCTATATCTATATAGATATATATAGATATATATAGATATATATATATATATATATATATA